CCCCTGGCAAACGCCTCCTCCCAGGGGCCGTGGCCAACTTGACTTAAATCGACGGCGGTGTTGCAGCTGCCCGTACAGACACGTGTGACGTCCAAGAAGCCATTCAAACTCGAAAGCCTTGGCAGGTTGGGAGCATACAGCGCTCCCAGCAGCGAGCCTCTCAGGCTCAGGGCGCCAACGGACTCCAGCACTGGCATGTCGAAGATTTCAAGACTGGCCTTGGTGAGATGCGGCCCTCTGCGAAAAGTGCCTCCAGATTACTCTACATGCCATGCAAAACGTGTGACACCATCCATAAGGCCATATAAGGCCCCGGCATCCCTGCAGACATCCCCAGAGAGGCATGGATTCGTGCCTGTCACCTCGGAGAGTCCTTCCAAACCATGTAGAGATCTGAGCTTGCCGTTAATCTCGAGCCTCAGCCATGCAACCTTCCTCAAGGAACCGAGCGCGGCCAAAGAGGTGAGTTTGTTGTTCTCCTTGATCTCCAGGTTTCCCACCTCCACAAGGCCCTCCAAGCCCAATAGGTCGACCAGCCCACCGTTCCCCTCGATCTCAACCCACTGGAGATTCTGCGGATGGAGGCTGCCGAGGGCACTTAGGCTCTGCAGCCCGCCGTTCCATCCAAACTGCAGCTGCCTCGTGACATGCAAACCTTCGAGGCCCTGCAAGGTCACCAGCGACGTGGTCGCTTCAATGCGCAGATTCTGCACGGCTCTCAAGTGCTGAAGAGGCCTTGCATCGCTGACATCACGGAACAAGAAGAGTACTGGCTTGACGGACGTGCAGTTCTGCTTCGCAAATTCCAGCAGCTGCTCTTGAGTCTCCATGTATGCATCAGCACACTTCAAATCTGGCATGAAGGCAGGAAAGCCACAGGCGCAACAAGTGCCAAGAAATTCCTTGACTTCGGCCCAGGGCTTTTGTCCCTGTCCATACCCGGCACCCGAAGTGCACCAATCCTGATAGTGATCGCAGCCATTTCCAGCTGCATCTTGCCACCCTGGCACAACCTCACAGCTCACACCGCCACCACAGCTGCAGCAAGCATCCAAGGCTGTGCTTTGGTCCCAGGGATGGGCCCTCTCGCTGAAGCTCCCAAGCTCCGCCGAATGGCCGATGCCGTAGCTTCCGTCTGTTGTGCAGTAGGAAAGCGACGCATACTGGTCACAATAAGCCAGAGTGGCATCGAACCAGTTTATGTCCTCAACACAGGATCCATCGGCCGCATAAAACAAGAGCACGAATCCGGTCCATGTGCTGAAGAAACTCATTGGGCCGCTTCTTGAGAAGGCTGCAGCCGCAGTCACAAGAGACTCGGTATGTGAGCGGCATATCCAGCTAGCAGTGTACTTCAGCTCTGCTCTGTCTTTGGTGAAACAGTGACGACGGTGATGCAGCTGCTCGCGCACACGCGCTCTGACGACGGCACCACACGGACTTTTTGGGCAGCATAGCGTTTTCGACGCCTGAATCAATCTGACGGCTCCCGTGTCAAGCAGCCTGCCATAGCCTGCCCCGATCGGGTGACGCAAGCTGGGGGTGACGTCTGCAGGATCTCATTCGAGATCGAGCAAATGCTGGTGCTAAGCATAAAAACGGCATTAACTGTCATTCCTCGTCACTGACCAGTACAGTTTCAGGCACCGCAAAAAAGGGTGCAGCAGGTCGCGCAAACTTGGTGCACGGTGCCGACAACCTTGTGCATGCCAGTGCACCCGAACTCAGATCTATATCTTCAGCGCTGTCCAATGATGGGAATCACATTGCGAGTGTGTCCTCCCGGATAATCATGTCCAGTTGAGTCTTGAGATCGACACCGGGCTCCTTTGCATGGTGCATGTGAGAAGCTCCAGGTGAACAGCGAGGGCATGCACAGTCTACAGCAGCACGCAGAAAGCATTCATAGCTCTGCACAAGCTCTCTGCTGGATGTGTAAAGCACTGTGCGAAGCTGACACATGTTGACATAGCTTCAAGCAGACGACACACAAACTTCCACAGCTAGCATTTGAAAGAAGCTCTGATAAGGCGGCCAAAACGCTGACCTCGAGCCTAAGGGCTCCGAACCAGGACGAGAGCCTGCTCGCACCCTCCGGAAGACAAGCCTCAACGCAGTTGCTGGAAGATGCCACTGCGAACAGGTCAGCTTGACCTGCTGATCACTGATCCACTGCCAATGCATGCCAAGAAGCATCGTCTCTTGCAAATCCACAGCGTCCATGGCCTAGTCTTCCCATGCAGCGCTTGAAGCGTGATCTGTCTTGTCGTTTACGCTTGCGTCTGTCGAATAGATGGTGCAGTTAAGTTTGGCGTCGCCGTAACCAACCAGGTCAAGTTGTACCGGCAAGCGGACAATGTGGCAGTACTAGCAGAACTAGCCATGATTGAAGAGCAATGGGGGCGGCAGTCACCCTGAATTTCCCTGAATGTCACAATTCTCTACACAAGTCGAGTCGTTCTGTGGGTATCTCTCTTCACCTGTTCATGCCTCTCATGCACATCATGCCCGGCCGTGCAAACCAGTAGCGTTATACAACAACGACAAGAACGGACATCTACCTCGATTGACAGCGCCGACACCTTCAAATCATCCTCCTTGATGGGAAGATCAATGATGCCATTCACCAGTTCGCTTTCCTGACACAGTTGTGACAACGCACATGGACCCAGGGCAAGCACTCAAAGTGTAGGGCATTCTGCTTCAAATGCTGCCCTGCAGGCAGACGGCTGTGTGAACCCAGTGCAGTGGTTTTCAAAGTGAAGCGGGCCCCCTCTCAGATTTATCACAAGATGGAACCGAACTGAATTACAATCCACCGCACATCCGAAGGCCAAGCTTCGGGGCGATGTTGCGACTGAAACCGCTGTAGCGGAGTTAGGAGCATCAGGCTCAAAGCGACCAGGGCGGAGATCACCTGAAAAGGACAGAGCCCCACGGGTGACAAAGGTGGTTGTTAGACAGTTTAGCTCATCTCACACGCTGTCTGACCTCGTCGTCGAAGCAGTATACAGACTCGCTTGTTGATGCGATGAGGGACAGGCCCACGCCTTCCAACGCCCCCCTCCGGCCTGGAATCCGCAGAGCGTCGATGACTGGAAGTTGGCATCATCCTGCTCCCGCAACGCGAAACCTCGGATGGCAGCACGGGAACCTGGTTTCGCTTTTTCGCTTACTGCTCGGATCGGTGAGACTCCTGCAACTGATCCGAACAGCCGAGAATCCGTGGATATCCATTGGGAAGCCCATGCCGGCTGCCCAGAGGCTTAGCCCCACGACAGTCAAAGAGCACCACACCTCCTCAAAGGGTTTCCAAAGTTATCATGGCCGGCTGTGCTTTCAGATTTGCTAAGTACGACCGAGCTTCAAGCAAGTTGTTCAGTCGATTTCTGTAGGGATGGCGTGTCCAACATACATAGCCATAGAAACCCTGAATCATGGCAGTTGCGAGAAGCTGCCAGGACCCAATGCTTGTGAAAACTGCTGCACCAATGTTCACCGACAAATCTTTGAGCAGCACCACTGCCAGCCACCAGACGTAGGCATCTCTGTATTCCGTAGCCAGGAAATCCCAAGGCCCTCGGTCTTGCATCTTGGATGCCACCATGCATCGCGTCATCTGCCTTGCACCATGGGTCACAGCCCCGACCAGGCCGAAGCCGACCACGGCACAATACACGATCGCGAAGGGAAGCAACTCCAGCCACTCGGAACTTGGAGCCGAGGTGCCACTGGGGCACTCGACTTGAGGGTAGACCACCACGGTTTGAACTCCGTTGGGGCTCCGTACGCAGGTAAAGACCAAGAAGCCTTTCTGAATCAAGGTGTTGAAAAAGAGCGCAGACACCCAAACAACCATCTTCAGCACGTCCAGCATCTTCACCGCCCATTTCCCGTTTATGTTCGCCGAACTAGGGCCGACTTTGCTCAACGTCTCTCGCAGCAACCAGGAAAGCAAGGGCCAAGCAAGCGCAGACAAAATCAAAACAATCGGAATTGCGTAGGTGCATATCATTTCAGCGAAGGGCGTGTGAGGCAGCATGCAGCCCAAGCCTCAGTCGCCCAAAACGGTTGCAGGCTGCGCTAATGGCCGTGACACCCTCATAAAAACCACTTGCCCCTGTGAAGACTCCTGCAAGCAGAAATTTGTGCAGACCCTGTTGGTCCCCTTGCCCAAGCTGAGTTTGACAGCCACGCAGCTCGGGATACGCACCAAATCTGATGTCAACGCACGGATCGCATCCCAAAGGGAAGTAAGTATGGTCGGCCAGTAGACACCAAAGAATGACACCTTAGATGCTGCCGTGTCACCTTCAAGTGTGACTCTCAAGCTGACTTGGCATCAGTCCCTCTTGGCTGCAGCTCGTGCGCTACGCTGATCAGCTGCATGCAGCGGAAGTTCTGGCCTAGGCTATGTAAGCCGCATGCGGGGCGCACATGTCACTCTCAGACATCGTCTTGGAAAGCGGTGCCGAAGGAGTGGATTCATATGCTCTGCATTCACTGCATTCCGACTGCTCCGTTCACTCCCTTAAGGGCCTAGCCAAGTGCAGTTCGGAAGTGGGAGGCTCCCAGCGAGGCACATGAACTGTGCCCCGAAGTGAGCTGGAACAGGATGTGTGCGAGCAGAGTGACGCACAGCACTCCCGGGATCGCAAAAGCAGCGAAGAACAAGCGGTTGTCTCCAAATGTCGTGTCGCCGCAGCTGCTGCAGGGCTCGTCGTGCGATCCGAAGTGGCCAGGGAGGCACAGGCTGCAAGCTTTGCCGTGGCGGCCCGGGGCACAAGCACTGTTGGTGGAAGGGCAGGTGATGGTGTTGAAGCACCTGTACACCGAGTGGCCTCTGAAGGGCTCGGCTGCTGGCTCTGCCCAAAAGCCGGGTTGGAGCTCAGGCGGGTGCAAGCTGTTCGCGAAGACGTTGTTCCACTGGCAGTTCTGCCCATCCGTGCATGCCTGGCATCTGGACTCAGCCTCGTTCCAGAAGAAGGAGTCCTGGCAGCCGCAGTTGCCGTCTTGGGTCTCCTGGAAGTCCAAATCATCCTCGCTTTTGGTCTTGCAAACACAAGACGCCTTGCCAACGGCTGCTGTGGCAAGGGTCTTCTGAAAATCCCGGCAGACCTCGCAGCTCCCCCAAGGCTCCGGGGCTCCAGCCGCCCCCGTGGGCCAGTAGGAATCCAACGGGCATTGCACGGTTAGCTGACCGACCTTGGAGATGTCACATGTCTGAATCATGCAGGAAGGCAGGTCGGGTGCGGGGAGCAACGGGAACCGGGTTTGGGCATAACGGAAACCGCTCCAGCACACTGTAACCGAAACTCACGGCCGTGGTAACAGGAACCCGCGGGCGACTGTCACCATGGAGTGGTTTACTAATGACCGCCGTTTCAAAATTTCTAAATTCAGACTGAGCTAGCTGCGTCGCCCCCAAAGGGTCCTTTTTATTTATTGCCAGACGCATAAAATTGCATGAGCAGTGTGGACAAGACAGTTCAGACCATTCAATAGCCGACCCAGTTCTCTCTTCCCCAGATGCAAAAAAATGCTGAGCTCGGCCGACCTGCCACGGCTCGAAACTCATGTGCGGCACTGCATTCGAATGCAGACGGACACCAACAAACCTCCAGCTCGTGCCAAACTTCCGTTGATGCGTCCAGGACTCCGAGGTTGTAGGAGCCCGCGTCTGGTGTGCTGGAGACGGAATTGAAAGCACCCATCTCCAGGGTGGTATTGGAGCAACTACGTGATACGATGACCTTGTCTTGTGGCATCAGACCAACACCAGCGACGTTCTCCAAGCGGCACGATGAATTCACAGTGCACAAGAAGCGGCCGCTGCTCAGTGGTCCGTGCACTCGGAAAAAGCCGACCTGCGTGTTGAAGTCCGTGCCGGAGCTGCAGTTGCTGGGCCCTGGCCGGCAGAAGCAAAGGCTGTAGACCCCCGGGCGCGCTGAGGAGGACGTTCTCGCCCGGGCCAAACGTGTAGCTTCCGGTGCCCAGCCTGTCCGTCGCAATGCCGCTGGCTGGCAGGCCGTCCAAAACGGCAGCTTCCCCGCAAGACTGTTGAACGGCGACGGCGTCGCCCGGCCGCAGGCCCGTGCCAGTGAGGGTTGGCAGCTCACAAGCCTGGCCACGGAAGCACGTCGCCTGCTGGCCGTCACTCACACCCTCGATCAGCACGCTAGCAACCGCCATGCCGGCCTTGCCACTCGCCTCGCTCTCACTCTGCCGACGTGGCAACGTGCCTGTGACATTCAAGGGGCGGAGCGTATCACAAAGGCACACCAGGTAGCGGCCAGGCACAGCCTCAAAGTTCAGGAAGTCCACATCGTACATCTGCGACAGGGTCGACTGTGCCAGGAAGGCATTCGTAGGGCCGTGGTCCAGCTGCCCACAGCCGTTGCAGGAGCTTGCCAGGATCAGCACTGGCGTTCTGTCCGCTGCCCAGGCCTTTGACGCAGCTTGCCGCACCAGGTCGCTGTTCTGGAGCTGCAGACGGCAAGCTTGGCCGCGCGGGCAGGGCTCTTGTGCTGGGCCTCCGTCTGCCCCCTGGTCCTGCAGCAGCAAGGTCATCGTCTCGCTGAAATCCCCATCCCGCAAAGAAGTCACCTGAGAGGCACACAAGGTGTCGCAGTGTCGCATGAATGGCACTAGATCGCTGCTTTGCAGCTTCCTGCATGCGTGCAGCGTGCAGCTTGCAGCGGACGATACGTCGGAAACATGCTGCGTCGCTGAGGCCGTCGCCGAAGCAGAGCCTTGCGCAGAGAGGATGCCGAAGCAAATGGCCTCGTCTCGCTCCGTCTCGGCGTCCGCGAGGACGAAGAGCCGCGCCGCCGCGCTGTCGTTCCGGCCCAGGGACGATAGAGGGGACAGCAGAACGGCACACTTCTCGGCGACGTCGCCGTCCTCCCAGGCCACGGAGCCCGTCTGGAAGATGAAGTCCTCCTCGAAAATGGCGGGGATCTCCGCCGAGCTGCATTGCGAGAGCCCGATGGCGGCGCTGGTGCTGCCGCTGGCTCCGCCCCTCCGCCTCACACACAAGAGCTATAGCCACACACTACGATGATAAATCTACTGTCTGTACTGATGGTGATGATGATGATGATGATGATGATGATGATATATGATGATGGTGATGGTGATGATGATATATGATGATGGTGAT